CTTGAATTTTCAGCCCAAAACGGACCGCCTCTCGAAGCAGAGGCTTGTCCGCCCAGGCCGCCTCTCGAATTTTCAGCCCAAAACGGACCGCCTCTTGAATTTTCAGCCCAAAATGGACCGCCTCTCGAATTTTCAGCCCAAAACGGACCGACCGTTGGAGGTCTCCCAAAAATGCTAGTTCGTAGGCGTGAGGCGCAAGCAGTTTCGGGAGTGACTCTCTATTTTTCAGGCCAAAACGGACTGCCTCTCGAATTTTTAGGCCAAAATGGACCGACCGTTTAAGGTCTCCCGAAAATGCTAGTTTGCAAGCGTGAGGCGCAAGCAGTTTCGGGAGTGCCTCTCAAATTTTCAGGCCAAAACGGACCCCCTCTCAAATTTTCAGGCCAAAACGGACCGCCTCTCGAAATTTCAGGCCAAAACGGACCGAGTGTTGGAGGTCTCCCGAAAATGCTAGTTCGTTATCCCCGCAGCATCAGCCAGTTTAGCTTTGAATACCACACCCCTTTAATTCCTCCTATCTATTTAACTGAACACTCTGTTATTCTTAAACGATCTGACCCTGACATTTCCAACACTACTGTGTGTTGTGCCTCACCTCCACAAGTGAACTCTTTTCCTATCTTGGAAGGAAGGTCATTCCGTGCATATTGTAGTATTGGCGAAATGTGGAGATAGATTGAGACTTACAAAACTTATCTCTAAGGATAGCTTCCTGACCTGCCCTACTTCTGGGACTAGCTCGGCCCAGAGGAGCTTGTCCTGTTCCCGCTGCGGCCTTATTTCAACCGAGTGTCCTGGTTGGTACTCTAAAACTACTCCTCGTCGTGACACTTTGTCCTTGATTATCTTAATCTACGTTCCTGTGTCCACAAGATATAGGTCTGTTGCGGAAATATTTGTCCTTCTTTGTTTGTTTGTTTGTTTGTTTATTTCTTTCTTTCTTTCTTTCTTGTCTTAGGGGCTCGTTAGACACTCCTCGGGCGCGTAAAGTCCCCGAGGAATTGTTCGTTCCACCTATCCTCAGGGATGGTGTCGGAAAAAAAAAAAGTGAAAACACTCCGAAGGAAATTCCTTGGGCTCCGAGGATTCCCCAGCCATTTCTTCGTTTTGCCCAAAAGGAATCCATGTTTCACGGAGAGGAGCGGGCACATGGGCAGAGAGACGTTACAACCGGGAATCTGGATCGTGGCAGCACCCTATTGGCTGAAGGCCTCAAGCATATTTGATTTTTTTTTTCTTTTCTTTTTTCTTTTCTGACATCGCTCGAAGGAAATGTCCTCGGGCGACGTCCCCGAGGACAGGTGGAACGAAGGGCCCAAATTTCCTTTTGAACCAAAGGAATTTTTCCTTTTGCCCGAGGATTTCAATAGGAGAGTCTAACGAGCCCCTTAGTCAATTGAGTCGATTTTAGGCCGCCTGTGCAAATTGAGAATGAATCTTCCGCTAGAACATGGAAAGGTACACCGACATCTTATGTGTCTGTGGTGCATGTGGGGTGAGTAGTGGAGCCAGGCACTTTGGGTCTTGCTCCACTACTCACCAAATGTGCAAAATGGGAATGAATCTGCCGCTAGAATGTAAAGATAAATGACCGTAGTTTTTGTATTTTGTGCATGTCCAGAGTAGTGGAGCGAGCCCCTTCGGGACATCCGTTAAAATTGGAACGATGGAGAGAAGATTAGCATGGCCCCTGCGCAAGGATGACACGCATAAAGCGAGAAATGGTCCAAAAAAAAAAAAAAAAAAAAGAGTAGTTGAGCGAGCCCCTTTCTCTTTCTCTCTTCCCTTGCCTTTCTGACTGCACAGCGCATGTGGCTGAGTTGAACACGCATACATATAACTGTCCAGAGGCAGGTCGTCTGTTCGAATCTTGAATGAATCAAATAAATTCAAAATAAATGAATAAATAATATCAAATAGATTCAACTTTCAAAACTGATTCTGCGCAAAATAAATGAAAAAAAAAAAAACTGTTGAAGTCACCGATGATATGTTTTTGGCTTTTACGTTTCCCTTTACTCTG